TTCCTCTCCACTGAGCACTTCCCTCTTTCTGCTCACTCTCTCTTGTTTGTGCTCCTCCCTCCTTCAAACGCAGTTTTTTCTGTTTCCTGCTGCTAGTGAAAATAAAGATAAAGGCCTGTTTACACAGTTACACTCTGTGTAAGTGTGTATGAGCGATAGGAAGGAAGTCGTCACATCAACCGCAGTGACTTCTGTTACATTCCCACAGAAGAAGGCGAAGAGAGAGAAAATTCAAAGCTGTCAGAGCTCCTGCAGGATCCCAGAGGAATCAATTAAAGCTTTCAATAAAACTCCTTCAAGAGATCTGGTAACAGCTTCCCAATCAGCTGTAAGGAAAGAAACATTTAAGATTAAAGAAACGAACCGCGAGAAATCATTTCCATCACCAACATCAACTTTTTCCATCATTAAGGCTGTGTAACTTTTATAGAAAATATTTCTTAACCGATTTATTTTCTTTACAAATCTTTAATTTGTCCTCCAACCTTTGCAGCTAAATGCAAAACAAACTTTGGTTGCAGCTAATAAACTAAAACTGATCACTTTAAAAGTGGTTAAATGTTCTGTAATGATCCATATTAGCCTAACTTTTTATGGAACAAAAAACCTGCTACCCTTTTTATTGCCAATGTAAATTCTAGTTATTACAAGGTTGCCCAACGTGTGGCTCAGGGGCCATTAGTGGCACCTGGTATTATTCTTGACTGCAGTTCAGGAATATTAAAAAGTTAGCTCCTGAGCACAGGTGTTTGGTGCAGGTGGTTTATTTTTAATCGTGGCAGAAATCTTGGTAAATTATAAAGTATTCATCCTTAAATAACCACACAAATGTATTTAGTTCCAACCACACAGTGACCTAAATCTGACTCTTCTGGCTCCAGACTGATGAAACTTTTGCTAAATTTTTCAACAAACAACTGATAAACATTTCTTTAAATAATGTAAATCCACAAAAACTTTCTTAAGTTTTGGGTCTACAATTGTTTACACATCTCTACAATAAAAAACAAATCTGACATTTATTTAATTAAACTACCAAGTCGGTAAAATAAAAACATCATAGTGCAAGTTTTTATTAAAAATATGGCAGATTTTATGACGATTTTGGCACGTGACAAAAAGTTTGTGCACCCCTGAGTTAATAGGTCAAAATGGCTACACACGTTTCAGTGTGACATTCAATGTGCTACACTATCTTTCAATATTAAAGACTTTCAAAAGTAAATTAGCATAAAAGTATCTTTAACTGGCTACCTGTGAGTTTGGAGTCGCCTGATTCCTCTGCATAGTTTCTGACTAACATTCTTGACCTTTCCTACACGGGGTCAAACTAAAACCGGCCTCCAGCTCCCTCCGCATGTTTGTAGGTTTACATTTATCTTTAGATCTTGGAAGTTTAAAATATTACCACAGCTTCTGCGTTTTCACCCATGACTCAAAAGTTATGCTTTAAGTTGACGGTTTTTCAACACTCCTGGCTCTTATTTTGCCTTAGTTTGAAAAAGATACAAAGGTTTATTGAAGTTTAGATTCTCAGCTGGTTGATAAATCAACCCTATAAACAGGAAATAAATGCAAAGACTTTCATCTGCTATTTTAAAGTCGTCACTCTGGTTGTGGGTATGATGGATTTTTCCAAAACGGCTGAGAAATTCAAATTCCTCCGAAAATCCGCAGAAAGCTTAAGCCACTCCACTACCCGTTGTGTTCATCAAGCAAAGGTGCTGAGAAATTCTTTCGCCGTTTTAAGCTGCTTATGGAGTTCGGCTGATCCGATTTAAATGCTGACAGACAGAAATATGGGGAAGAAACGGGAGGGTGAGGAAAAGCAATGCATCTTGTATAAGATGGTCTGTCTTCTAGTAGGACGATGTTTGAGTTTTACATTCATTCTTTATGGAAAACAAAGGTACAGCTACATAAGAGATTAAATGTTATTTATTTTCCTTGTGAATTAGTGCTATAAAAACTGAACTAAATAAAAAATTATTGTATATATTATTTTTGAAAGTAAAAGCAGACAAATCTAACGATATTCCTACACGCTGTTGATAAAAATAATAATACTAAAGTCGCCCTCAGCAAGGCAAAAAACAAGGAATATACAAGAGTAAAAGGTAGAAAAGAAGGAAAGGAAGGAAGGATACATAGGAGGATGTGAGGTAGGACACAAAGAAAAGTGCATAAAAAAGGAAATGAGGAAAAGAAAAGAAAGGGAAGAGAAAGGAGAACACAAGGAAGGAAAGAAATGAAGGACATAAGGAAAGTAAAAATAAAAAAAAAGAAAGAAAGAAAAGCAGAAATGAGTCGGGAAGTAAGAATGATAGGCAACAAGAACTATATAAGTATATGAATGAGGAAAGGAGAAAAAATGAATAAAGGAAGGATGGACAGATCATTTCGACATTGGGATAAAAATAAATTCTGGAATACAATCCTTTTATTTTTTCCACACTTATCCAGACATGGAAAATAAATTCCAGATTGTTCCAGACAGCAGATTATAATGCATGTGAAGCTTTCATAGACAGGAAACGTGTGTGTGTGTATGCGTGTGTGTGTGTGTGTGTGTGTGTGTGTGAGAGTGTGTTGTGTGTGTGAGAGTGTGTGTGCGTGTGTGATGCTGTTTCACTGCAGGCTGATGTGACCTGCTCTGACCTGCAGGGGGCTGAAGTTAGATGGATAAGACAGAAGTGAAAGAGTGAAGAGAAGCGCATGAAACGCATGACAGGCATCGTTTCATCTCCATCTCTATCCGACGCTTCATGCCGTTGCATCCACAGGGAATATTCTATTTAAAGCTTGAAAGTGGTTTAAAAATATAACAGACGAGGGGCATAAATTCATGAGGAAAGCTTCAGGCAACCACAGATGTTTTTTTTATGTTTATGTCATTCAATATGTGTTCATGATCTGTATTTTTTTAACTCATGAGTGCAAAACTGAAGACTGGTTTTGGTTTGTGATTGTTAGCTTATGTTCCTTTGACTCCACAGATCCTAAACTATTTTTCTGACAAATTCCACTAGAGCTCTCTGCGGATGAGTACAAAAATCTACCGGCTCCAAATTAAGCAAAATTAGCAAAAAGTTTTCTACCAAACTTTAGTTTAGAATAAATTCAGGCAAACAAAAATAAATTGTTAACCAGAATCTGACAATTATCTGCCAGCTTGGGATAATTGATATATAACAATCAGGTTGGAAACTGAAAAAATTGATCTTTTTCTGCTTTACCAAGTTGCACTAACAGTAACAACCCTCAGTGTGGAAGTTGTTACTGAAGTCTCAAACTTTGGCTTTTTCATTATTTTTGTGGTGGTACCGAGATGGAAGAAGCTTTTTTTTTTAAAGAGAAACAGTATTTTTAAAGATGTATGTTAAACGTATGCACTCCCTTAGGCTGTGAGAGCGAGTAAAACCTCTACACTTAACAGGAACACCAAACAGAAAACTGCCCAGCTGCTTTCTTTTATTTCAGCTTTCAACCTCTGTCTGTTAAGGAACGTGGAGGATTTGAATATCCTGGCTCTTTGCAGGGATTGCATTTCTATAAACAAGAAAATGTCTGCAATAAGGTCCTAATTTAGAGAAACAATAAAACTAATTTCTTTTGCAATTTCCCCTTTTTTAGCGTAAAATGCAACGCCCTGTTTTATTTAGAAAAAAAAAAGATGAAGTTGTGTTTAATCATGCAGACGGCCTTGCTTAAGACAAGTTGAATAAGAATGAAAAAGTTGGACAGAAAATCCTAATCATCCAATTGCATGTTATATTTGCATTTCTGTTTGAGAAAATGGCAAAAAATAAACTTTAGTCAAAAGGAACTCATGTTTCAGGAGTCAAGGAGGAAAAGATAAATAAAGAACAGATACAAGAAGAAACGGAGTACAGAAAGATAAAGAGAACGAGATACAAAGTATAAAAGATACAGCTTTTTCTTTATCTCACCTATTAAGTAGCAGTGAGGAATCAGGAAGTGCTTTTAATGTTTGAGAATCCAGAATATTGTTGAAACATTAACTTAAGCAGTATAGACAAGTTAAAACCTCAGAATGAACCAATATTTAACCAAATCAAGGAAGCAGGAACTGCAGGAAGGCTTGGAAATGGCATGATTTGACTTTTACTATAATTCAAAAAAGGAATGTGAAAGAAAGCAGCATTTGCTTCTCATTCATGAGAAGAAGGCTGACAAATCTGCATATTTATGCATATGTAATATGTTTTTGCTTTTGTACACATTGTACTTCTACAAGATTTCACAAGTAAGCCAGAGATAAGAAGTGAGTCACAGAGTTGACATCCTGTATGTACTAAAACTAAGACACAGTCACACAGTGGGTGAAACAAACGCCTAGAACGTGTTACTCTAGATTGCAGTCTTGTACTTTTGTGTCTTGCCTAAAAGGGAGCAAAAATAATCCTTTAAAATCTAACAAATGGAAAACCTTCCTGGTTATGTACCTTTTTCCTACTCCTATCCCATCAGTCCCCTGCTGACATACACACATGCATACATATCAAGAACACGCTGTGCTGCTATGGTCTCTGGTGATTTCAGCAAATTCCCTAAATACCAGCAGCCTACTTTCAGCAGCAAGATGGTAACATGTGCCTGAGGAAATTTAACGAAAACAGACACTGATGTTCTGAGAAAAAATAGGTCTCCTATTTCCCTGAAGAACAATTAAATTATAAAATGTAAAAGAAAGACGGTAAAGAGTATGTCTATTTGTTGTTTTTTTTCTGCTTATTCTAAAAGCAAATGTTAGATTTTCAGTTTTTTTCTTTCCAAAAGCACTATTTTCTAACGGCATTTCTTTAAAAGAGTCACTGCACTAAAACTTAAAGGCTCCAAAAGAATGCACATAAAGCCATGTGAGTTATGAAGTAAGAAGTCAGGACGGTATTTAGAGCGTGCCGAGTTTTTATTTCTTAATTTCATAGTTCAAAATGAAGTTGAGCACCAAACAAAAGCATTTTGGTTTCCTGTGGTACCTTGATGTTGCAGGCCTGCTCCATTAGCCGCCGCGCGTTCTCTGCAGCTCTGTAGCGCTTCGGTAGCTGGACCCGGAAGAACTTGAGAGCCCCCTCAAAGTCCGCCTGCAGGAGGTCTTCTTTGGACGTCTGGGGGGAGACAAGAAGAGGTGGATGAGACACAGCAGCACAAACACCAAGCACAGAGACTCCACAATGTGTCTCCTTCTGCATGCAAGCTGATTAACAACAAGGTCAGAGTCATGCAGGTAAATACATGAGGCAGCACAGTTTCTGCTAACATGAACAGCAAATACTTGATAGAGTAGAACAGTAAAAATGAGAAATGTAATCTCTTTTTATTGAGAAAAATATTAAAATTTTACTGACAACATAAAATTT